AGGAAAATAAAACCCACTAAATAACCAAAGAAACTAAAAAACACAAAGATAAATTCTAAAATAAACCCTCCCCTAACCAGCAAGAGACTCTAGACCGAAACCGGCTAATGTCAATATTATTTATATCATTCATAGAAGTAATATTTCTTTTTTATATAATGTATATTAATATTATTTATTGATGTGATTAATTTAAAAATATATAAGTAAATCTAATGTTTGTTAGGAATGTGATAGATCTTGATATTTTAGGTACAAATATATGATATAGTATCTTGAGATACAAAAGAAATTTTTATGTGATTTATTACTTTAATTAATCATTCTAATTACCTAAATTGTATTTTAAAACATAGCATAAAATATTTAAAAGTTTCCAGAATTAATAAACAACATATTTTTGGCGGGAAATATTTATTATTTAAAAATAATCAAATAGATATAGATTTTACAAAATTGCTTGAAAATTTTAACTCGAGCCAAGCTTTTATTCCGAATTTGAGCCAAGCTCGAACTAGTGTATATTTTTATCGAATCGAACTCGAGCCTCATAAATCGAGTTCGTCCAACTAAAAAAAAAAATCAATCCTGCTAATAAGGTCAATGTTCGACTCTTTGCAACTCTTTGCAAACAGCGGGGAAAAAAAGAGCCACAAAAAAGCAGGCAATACAGTGACCCTAGAAATTATGGATCAATGATCATCTTCAACCTCAACTCAACGATAATAAGAGATATGATGAGATATCTCATCAACTCTCACTCCCACACTCTCCTCCACTCTCCCCATTTACCGTCGCGCACTTTTTACACACACACACACACACACACACACACACACACACACACAGAGCCCCTGAAACCCTCTCCACACTCACCGTGAGATGGCGTCCACAGCTGTATCGCCAGCCTTCTGCGGCATCCCGAAGAAATCCGCCGCCGCCGCCGCCGCCGCTAGGGCTTCTCTCAGCGCCCCTACTACCGGATTCCTCTCCAGAACCCCCGTCCGACGCCTCGGCTTCGCCGCCGGCAACCCCCTCTTCTCCGACCACGTCGCCGCCAAGCTGCGATCGTTCGGGAGCTCAAATGGCAAGCCGGTTAGAGGCGTTTTCGCCATGGCGAAGAAGAGCGTCGGAGACCTAACTGCGGCTGACCTCAAGGGCAAAAACGTCTTTGTGAGGGCCGACCTCAATGTGCCTCTCGATGAGAACCAGAACATTACTGACGACACGAGGATTAGAGCTGCTATCCCCACCATTAAGCATCTAATTAACAATGGCGCTAAAGTCATTCTTTCCAGTCACTTGGTCAGTTAAATCACCATTGAAAGTTCCTTATGTTATAACTCTGGAGTGGATAATTCTTGTTTGGCTTTGATTTGTTCAAATTTGATTAGTTGTTCACTAGATTAGAGGTCGTTTAATCAAGACATGCAATGTGCTGTTGGAGTCACAAGATCCAATTGAATTTCATGTTCCCTGTTTTATCCTTCACTTCTTAAACCTGCCACAAATGTTTTGATTTAATACTCTTTAACGTGCGTGCAAATTGATACCAGTTTTTGAGTTCATGAATTGCACTTCTGATTTGTGTTCTTGTTTTTTCAGGGTCGCCCCAAAGGTGTCACACCAAAATATAGTCTTGCACCTCTTGTTCCCAGGCTCTCTGAACTGCTCGGTATTCAGGTATCAGTTTACAGGAAAATAATTTTTCAGTTAAAAAGGGGGATTGAATATGTTAGTATATGATTATTGTATAAGTCATTAAGAGCTATTTTCTCTGCGAATGAATATCCAACTCAGGTCGTGAAAGCCGATGACTGCATTGGCCCAGAGGTTGAAAAATCGGTGGCCTCGCTGCCTGAAGGTGGCGTCCTCTTGCTTGAGAACGTGAGGTTTTACAAAGAGGAAGAAAAGAACGAGCCCGATTTTGCAAAGAAACTTGCCTCATTGGCTGATCTTTATGTGAATGATGCATTTGGAACTGCACACAGAGCACATGCCTCTACTGAGGGAGTTACAAAGTTCTTGAAGCCTTCAGTCGCTGGTTTCCTTTTGCAGAAGGTTAATCCTTGCACTTCAGATGTCAAAAAAAGTTATTCATGCAGTAATATTTGAGATTTCTGCACGGGTTAATTAAGGAATCACTTCTTGGATTTAACTTGACTGCCATAAAAATGAAGAGATGTTTTAGAACTAGAAATACTTAATGATATTCTCTCAAAAGACGGAGATAATAGGTTTGTACGTACCTCACAAGGGTGTTTGTGGGTATTCGTAATTTTGAAGATAATTGATGTGTAGCTTTTGTGTGTGTTTGTGCTCGCGCGCATGCACCTGTTAGACTAAATCTCAGGGTTCTTTGTCCTAATATCCCTTTTATGTAGTACAGTTTTACACAGGTATAGATTGGTGTGCAACTAAAGATTGTGAATTGGCTTCAATTTAGGAGCTTGATTATCTTGTTGGGGCAGTTTCCAGCCCAAAGAGGCCTTTTGCCGCCATTGTGGGGGGTTCAAAGGTTTCCTCTAAGATTGGAGTGATTGAATCTCTTCTCGAGAAGTGTGATATACTGCTACTGGGCGGAGGCATGATATTCACATTCTATAAAGCACAAGGGCTCTCAGTAGGGTCGTCCCTAGTCGAAGAAGACAAGCTGGATCTTGCCACATCACTATTGGAGAAGGCCAAGGCCAAGGGGGTTAGCCTCTTGCTACCCACTGATGTTGTTATAGCCGACAAATTTGCCCCAGATGCAAATAGCAAGGTCCCGATTCCTTTTTTCTGTAGCGTATAATGAATTTGGTCGTGTGATTTATCTATATTTCTTTTGAAACAAATATATATTTCTTTTAAGAGCTGTGGTGCAGATGATGTTTGATATTTACAGGTTGTGCCGGCATCTGCTATTCCAGATGGGTGGATGGGATTGGATATTGGACCGGATTCTGTGAAGACTTTTAATGATGCCCTTGAGACTACAAAGACAGTTATTTGGAACGGACCAATGGGAGTTTTTGAGTTCGACAAGTTTGCCGTGGGCACAGAGGTACATTTCTTGATCTAACCACCATTAATTTTGTTTTGCCAAATGCTGGGTATTTCATGTTGGTCTTTACAGTCTGGACAGCTTCCTTTGAAGTTGTTTTGTTTGGTTGAGTTTTGTAAAAATTGCATTTTCGAATTGCAACAGTTTTGGAACCAATCTTAGAGTTATATGGTCGGTCAACCTTGATTTCTGCTTGACCTCCATTTCTGAGGAACAACAGAAAAAATATTATTCTGGAAAATATTTACACGACATGGAAATGGTTATTCTTTCCTTTTTTTTTTTCAACAGTCTGCAACATGAATTAATGATATTTTATTTTGATTTTATCTTCTTTGTTTTTTTTTTCTGGCATTTTTCAACCTAAACTATCCCACAACATCTTGCAAAATGTAAAATGAGAGGCGAATGATCTATATGCAGAACATATTACCGCCCATTTTCACTCGAGCAATATGTGAATTTTTGTGCAGGCAATTGCAAACAAGCTAGCTGAACTTAGTCCCAAGGGAGTGACTACAATAATTGGGGGTGGAGATTCTGTTGCGGCAGTGGAGAAAGTTGGGGTTGCTAATGTTATGAGCCACATATCGACTGGTGGTGGGGCTAGCTTGGAGCTCTTGGAAGGCAAAGAGTTGCCTGGTGTACTTGCTCTAGATGAAGCCACGCCAGTTTCCGTGTAAGGCGTTGAAAACAACATTTTGACTCATTCTTTTGGCCCAAGATGTGTTTCTTTCCAGTTTTGAAATGTATCAGTATATGAGTGTGTTATAGATGCCCCCTGTTTCGCTTTAAATTTGGATTCTATGTAAAATTTTCTGAGAAACCTCTTTTTACTTGTTTAAATTCGAATAAGAAATCCATGAAGCTTCTAGTGCTGGATGTAATTTGTGTACAAAGATTTCAAAATGAAGGCAGCCGCATATTGTTCTCCTGGCTCTCATTGATGGAAGCATCTCATTCATATTAGATATGTTTTCTCCGAGAGTAGATGAGATGGGACAAGATACATCACACGAATTCGGAGGCAAAAAAGAAGACAACCAACAATTGATTATGTTATGAAACTAGATGGAAAGATGGAGAATAGAGAGAATGTATTCTTTTGGTAGGATTTTCATTATGATAAAACTATTATTTATACGAAAACTTTGGATGGAACATTTGTAATGATACAATTACATCAGGGCAAAAAAGTTATTTACATATATAGATATTTCATAACACTCCCACTTGAATGACTATTTTTTAAACATATCAATACTAAATGAAATAAAACTCAAATCAAAACATCTTGTAGTGTAGCTTGTGGCCATAGTTACTGGTGTTTCAGTATGTCAGGAAAACTGGGTAAGACAAAACATGAGCATTTTGGAAACATAACATTGTTTCCCCCTCAAATAGATCATCTTTAGTGGAGTGTTCATGTGCTGCTTCATTAAAACCTTGTCACAAAAATCCCATGTGAAAAATCATCATGAGGAATCATATCATTTGTGATTTATCCAGTGTCCTCAGTATACAAAGATTATGCCTCATTAAAACCTTATTAGGAAAAAAACTCAATGGGCAATCCTAATGAAGGAAAAAAAAATGCATTATTCATGTGAATATGCCACCTCTGTTGTCTCATTAAAAACTTTAATCACTTTAATTCCTAAATGTTTGAATCCTGTTTCTCTTGAAAACTTCAGACCAATTAGCATGTGTAGTGTCTTCTATAAAGTCATATGCTTAACCTTGTTTGGATAGCTGTATTAGTGTGACTGAAGTTGCTTTTATCCGGTAGACTGCTGATTGATAATGTAGTCATTGCCCAAGAGGTCATTCATTATTTAAACATACATTCTTATGGGGCTAGAGGTTAAATGGTTGTTAAGTTGGACATAGAAAAGACATATGATAGGGTGGAATGAGGGTGTATTCAACAAATCTTGTGAAAAATGGGGTTTCATAGGTGTTTTGTGAAGTGGGTTCTAGCTTGTGTATCTTTTGCATCTTATTCTTTTAATATTAATGGAGGGATCCCCTTTCCCCCTATCTATTCATTTTGGTCTCTGAAGTTTTTTCTAAATTGCTGTAAGCAGAAGTTTTGAAGGGTAATTTTAAAGGTCTAAAAATCTCTAGATCTGGTCCTCAGTTATCCCACCTGCTATTTTCTGATAATGATGCTCTAGTCTTTTGTGCTCCTGATAAACATCACGCCTCTTTACTTTTACACTAATTAGATCAGTACGTGATTTTTACATGAGAGAAGGTGAAATTGTGTAAATTCTCCATTTTCTTTATAAAAAACTATTCTTCAGGTATGAAGTTTAATGTTTGTTAGCTGCTGATGTTAAGGTCTCCCCCTCGGAGTAGGAAGATAAACAAAAAAAAAGATGTTTTGACTTGGTTATTAAGGCTGTGAGATCAAGATTAATTAACTGCAAGAACAACTTTGTTTCATCAGCATGAAAGGAAGTTCTGATCAAAGCTGTGTCAGAAACGATGCTTGTCTTTTCAATGTCTTGCTTTTGTCTGACTAAGACTGTGTGTAGGGTGATAGCAGGTTTATGTTCTTCATTTTGGTGGAGCAAAGGGAAAGATCATGTTGCTGGGAATGCATTGGAAGGCTTGAAAGTTTGTTTCTATTCCTAAAGGGGCAGGAGGGATGGGATTTAAAGACCTCATTCTATTTCATGATTCTCTCATTCCGAAGCATATTTCGAGGATTCTCTTTAAGCCTAATCTTCTTGTCAGCACGTCTTGAAAGCCGATATTTTCCAAACTCTTCTATTGTTAAGGTTTAGAAATCTTCTACTTCTTTCTGGTTGTGGTCAAACTGGATGGCTGTGAGAGACAAATACAGGGATTACTTTAGAATTGAGATCAGAGATGGGGTAACAAGCAGAATATGGGAGGATCTCTAGGTTCACTCTCTAGTTTCAGGTAAACCAATGTTGAAAAATGGGGCGATATGTAATCTGGTTTGGGTGCATCAGTTGCTGAGGACTGAGGGGAGAAGATGGAATTATGAGCTCTTAAAGGATCTTTTCAATGATCAGGATAGGAAGGCAATCCAAGATATCAAAACTCTGGATCATTTACGTAAAGATAGATGGAGATGAGCTCTGGACTCCAAAGGATCATTTTCTGTGGCTGACACATATTCAAATATCATTAGGCAAAAGGTGATAAACCTGGATGTAGCAGAAGGAAACCTCTCAGCTGAAAATGACAGAAAAGTAAGAAAAAGAAGGTAGAGTCTGAAGATAAAAATAAACTGGAACATTTCTTGTGGAAATGCTACAATAACACATTGCCTACATGCTAGAATATGAGGAGTAGAGGTATGTCAGTTGACCCTTTGTGCTAGAGTCGTGGTGAAGCATTGGAAAATGCAGAACATATCTTTTTTCACTGTCTAAGAGCACAATAAGGTTTGAAAGCTTGCTCCAGTGACTTGAGATGGTGTTTTAGGGGATTCTCACAGTTTTAAACATTGGTGGTGGATGGCATGTTCTTTGGGTAGGTCCACAACTTCCCAAGATAGAATTCAACTCACTACATATATCTTATGGTGGTTGTGGAAGTCCAAGAATCTCTAGAAATTTCAAAATTCCCTTATGCCATATGTTGAAGTGATGAAGGTTGCCTTGAAAGGTTGGTCATAATTTTATGCTTCTGTGGTTTGATAATGTTGCTAGGCTGAGATGGCTTGTTGCTAGGTCCTATTTGGTTCAGTGGTAATATGTCCCTTTGTTGTTGGCACTTTCAGTTTCTTTGCTCGTGTGGTTTTGTCATCTGGTGGTGGTGTATTGTTCTGCTGAAGGTCTCAATATTTAATTGTTGCCTTTAGTCTGATTCTTTTATTTTCTTTTGGTTTGTTTGCTTCTTTAGGCTTTGCATGTTGTAGTCTAGTTTTTTTAGTTTGTTTACCTTTATATGTTGTTGTTGTTTGGGTTTTAAGGCGCCGTGTCCGTGTGGAGTGGCCCTCCTTGTCTTTGTCAATTTTTGGGGCTCAGTTGATTCCCAAGTTGCAAAACTTTCTTTTCGTGTTATGAGTATTGCTTATGCCGGTTTTAAAAAGAAACAAAAAAACAATATTGATTGCAACATTTACATAAAGTAGAGTGAATAAAAAAGAAAAATATCAATGATAGATCAAAATTAAAGAAAAATTAAAATATTTTTATTAATTATTTGCTAATGTTCATTCAAAAATCAAACCTTTTCTTGAAGCTCAAGATACCCATTTTCTATAATCGAACCAAGATGTGATTTTTCCTTTTTCTATGCAACCAGTCACAGCCACTAATCTATAAATCTTGACCCGCCCACTGTTTCTCGCACTCGCCCACAGATACCCATTTACTGATTGCTTTTCACACCAACAACGTAAGCTCAATTATCCTTTATATTTTCTTTTCCTGGCATTTTTCTTTGGATTCAGTAATCACTCGTCGCAGTTTGAGCTTCAGGATCTTGTCTGATCTGAACATTCGAAAAATGGCGACAAAAAGGAGCGTGGGTTCTCTCAAGGAAGCCGATCTCAGGGGAAAGAAAGTGCTCGTGAGGGTGGATCTGAACGTGCCGTTGGATGATAGCCTTAAAATCACCGACGATACCAGAATCAGAGCCGCCGTCCCCACGATCAAGTACTTGATTGGCTATGGCGCTAAAGTCATCCTCACCACCCATCTCGTATGTGTTGCTCTCTTCTTGCTGCTTCTTCTTCTTAGTCGTTCTTTTAAGCTGAAAATATTCGTTTTTGTTATGATCTAATGGTAGATGTGCGGTTAAAAAAGTTACTTGTTAATAAGCTGTATTGAATCATGGTTGCTGAATCTAGAACAAGCTTGAAATGAATTTGATTTCCTGGTTTTCAGTTTATATTCTGCTGGTGGTATTTAATTATCGGCTGATCTTGTATTTATGAAAGTTTATATTGATTTGGGTTATCTCATGACCTGTTTGGTATGATCATTGACATGCAGAGTAGAGTTATTTGTGTTGTTGGGGCTTTGCTATGTTGTTCATCTTGGTATCAATTCCTATTTGTGTGAACTTCACTAGGATAGGATACCCTCCATGACATATTAGTCAATTAATTGTATCAACTTCATGATCAATTTGTTGCCTATTATTGGCTTTTAGGGACGTCCGAAAGGGGTCACGCCAAAGTACAGCTTGAAGCCTCTTGTTCCTAGACTCTCTGAACTCCTTGGTCTCGAGGTTAGTGTACTATTGACCTTTTTACCATGATCGAATCAATACGACAATGTACTTTTTTATGGCGGTGAGATTTTTAGCACAACTTTTTAGCCATTATTGTATAGATGACATCTTTTGCAGCCATTTTTTTTCCAGAAACTTCTTTCTTGGCCATTTCCCAACAGAGTATGCTCGTACCCAACGGGGCATAATCATTTCATATTGGAAAGCTGTTCTCGAAAAGTTTATTCCAGTTAGGAAATGGCAAAAATATTTATAGGCATTGAACGATGGCTTTTTTGACATATTTGCATTATTTTTTTCCTCATTTCCATACTTTATGTATGTTAGGTCAAGATGGCTAATGACTGTATTGGTGAAGAAGTTGAGAAGCTGGTGTCTGCTTTGCCAGATGGAGGTGTTATTCTACTGGAAAATGTTAGGTTCTACAAAGAAGAGGAGAAGAATGACCCAGAGTTTGCAAAGAAGCTAGCTTCCCTTGCAGATTTGTATGTTAATGATGCTTTCGGAACTGCCCACAGAGCTCATGCTTCCACAGAAGGAGTAGCCAAGTACTTGAAGCCCTCTGTTGCTGGTTTCCTTATGCAGAAGGTTTGTGAATATGCGTGTTTTTGTGCTTTCCCTGTGCCTCTCTTACTACCTTCTTTTGATTGACTGAAGAATAACAAATGCTCCATTTCAACTTTACGTAATTTTTCTTATGTCATGGGGCCATCTGATGAAATTTGTATCTTAGGTGTTTGGATGTTTGGAGCCTATATTATTGTGTAAATCAACATTTCATTGTCAGTAACTGTGATGCATTCTTATTTTTGTCGTTGAACTTGTTTTCCCAAATTACGAAATATGCTTCTTTTGGGCATTTTCAGGAGCTTGATTATTTAGTTGGAGCTGTGGCCAATCCTAAGAAGCCATTTGCTGCAATTGTCGGTGGTTCAAAGGTATCTACAAAGATTGGTGTTATTGAGTCGCTGTTGGAGAAGGTAGATCTCCTCTTGCTCGGTGGAGGAATGATCTTTACTTTCTACAAAGCCCAAGGACATGCTGTGGGGTCCTCACTCGTGGAGGCTGATAAGCTTGATCTTGCAAACTCACTTATGGAGAAGGCCAAGGCTAAGGGGGTGTCCCTTTTGCTGCCTACGGATGTAGTTGTGGCTGACAAGTTTGCTGCTGATGCTAACAGCAAGGTTTGTAGCTCTCACTTTAAGTATCAAATCTACCTGCATCTGCATATTTTAGTACATTTGTCAAAAAATAAATGTTGCTGATGTTAACTTAGTTACATTTAAACAGAATTAACTTATAAAAATTATGGCTGCTATGTATGAAATTTGTGTTTGTTTTATGAGTGGTTCTCTCCGTGGGTGCAGGTTGTAAGATACTAACACGTCACATGTTTTTGTGTAGTTTATAAATTACCTTTTCATACTTGGCGCATGCAATCATGGTTAAACATCAAGGATAATATTCGTTATTTTTAATGTAATTTCATTGTTGAGCTGATTCAATTTGCTTATGGGTTAGTGTTGTTGTAGCTCTGTGTGTTTCTTAACTTTCACTGCAACATGAAAACAATTTAACGATCTTGTTTTGACTTTATGCCTATTATGTAATAAACTGTCTAATGCTTGATTTTGAAACTTTGTTGCCTTTTGTTATAGGTTGTTCCAGCATCTCAAATTCCTGATGGGTGGATGGGTTTAGATATTGGACCGGACAGTATTAAATCATTCGGCGAAGCTTTGGACTCCACCAAGACCATAATCTGGAATGGGCCTATGGGAGTGTTTGAATTCGACAAATTTGCAGCAGGAACAGAGGTACCTCTCAATAATTCCTCAAATGTAACTTGGAACAAATCGTGCCTTTTTTTTTTTTTTTTTTTCCTTTCCATTTTCAGGCCATCGCCAAAAAATTGGCTGAACTCAGTGGGAAAGAAGTGACCACGATCATAGGAGGAGGTGATTCTGTTGCTGCAGTTGAAAAGGTTGGTCTGGCGGACAAGATGAGCCACATCTCAACCGGAGGTGGTGCCAGCCTGGAACTTCTCGAAGGAAAACCACTACCTGGAGTTCTGGCCCTTGATGATGCTTGAGGTGGAAACTTGTTTTCTTGCTATTTCCGTTTTTGCTGCCATCCCATTCGTTTTGTGGTGTTTGCAGGCCTAATAAGAACAATTGTGACCTCTACTTTTATTCGATTTTACCGAGCTATCTTTTTAGCAATTTTGAGTGGATTTTTCCCTTTTTTCCTGGGTTACTTTGGATGATGATGGGCTGTATTGCAGTCTTACAGAGCAATAAATTTCGGTTCAACAGATTGAACGTAAGTCTCTATAACTTTTGTAGACACAGGCAATTAGGGAGCTTGCAGGGTAGTTATTGGTTTGCGCTTGAACCAATGTGCGTTCAGATGAGTCTGGACTATGCTTTGGCGTTGGCCAGTTTTGATTTTGAAACTGGCTGCACTTCATAATTTTTCAAAATATCAATGTTTAACCAAAATGGTAGAGCAGTTGGTTCCGATTGCCGATCAGTAGGCCATTCCTACATAAATAAGCTAAAAAGTCCTAAAATTGCTGCCATGAAAGTGCTCTGTAGCTGCAAGAAGTTGCAGTGCAGTAACAAGGATACTGCATGGATGATATCTTACAAACTCAACTAGAGTTCAGTGTTTTTGTAGAAGATTAGTGAAAAGTTTCATACTTTTCACTAGGACTGCATAAACTATTTCCATACTTTTGCTTTGTGATACTATGGATGATGGATTACCTCGTGAAAATTTTCAAAGTGCAATGTGCCAAAAGTAAGACTTGTTGATACCTCTGTTTTAAAAATCGACCAAGCGCCCGCCTAAGTGGCAGTTAAGCGCTAGGCGGTACTCTGACAATTAGACTACACTTAGGCGAGCTAGATGGTTGCAAAATGGCCTTGGCGACGACTGAGTGCCCATATTTTTTTTTAATTTATTTAAAAAATAAAAATAATTTTTCATCATATATATACATATATATATATATATATA